TTGTAAAGTCGAGTTGATTAAAATATGTGAATTGTTCCACTTGTTATAAGATATACTAGGATGACTTAATGTACATATATACATTTTTACAAAGTGTTAAGTTTGTATAATTGATTTTTTTGTTTTTTTTGAACAGTTGAATACAATTGTGGTGGTAGCGATGTTGAACGTGTTTTTCCCAATCGCAGCGATTGTGGCTACGAGAAGTGCGTTTAAAGATGAGAAAATGCGTTCTCAATCGATGGGTTTTATAAGTGCTGGTCTAAACATTATAATGTATGGTTCTCCTCTTTCTGCTATGGTAAGTTAATTCTTTAACCTTTTATTGTTATCATGTCCCAAAGTTTAGATTATATCGTGTATGTGTAAAGTATTTTATATTACCCCCGTTTTGAAATTTCTCAAAATTTTTATATCATGGTGGTAAGGTAAGAGAATTTTTGAGTATGTCATTTTCGAAATGCCATTTTTCAAAAATATCATCTTTTCAAAAATTTTGTAAAAATGTTACTTTTTCAAAATCATTTATTTTAAATATCATTTATATTTGGAATAATTATGTTGTATTAGGGTTTAGTTTTGAGTGTTTAAATTTTGTTTGAGGTCAAAAAAATTTAGAGTTTAGAATTTTAAGATTTAAACTCTAAAAATCTTTAAATTAATGGTATTTTTTTAAATGAACAACTTATATTGGTATTTTTGAATAAAAACGCACCTATTTTAGCAACTACTTCTAAAATTTATATGTCAATATTTAGCAGAAATATTTTTTTAACTTATTTTAATTTAAAATTGATATTCAACTTGTATTAATTGAGGCTGGTTTCTTGGCATTGTTCATATATATATCCACTTGGTCCTTTTTGAAAATTAAGTAAGATTGATTGATCGTGTAATTCTTTTTATATTGAGTATATTTCAAACAAAAGCTTAGCCGTCCATAACTAAAAGCCAAAAGACTAATATGTTGTAAACACAATGATTACGTTTGATTTAGAAGTTTAATCAATGATTTGTCTTTTAGTTAGTGGTATTCGAATATCGTTTATAGTAAATATCATTCTCATTTTTTCAGAAATAAGGTCTTTTATTTTGACTAATATTTTTGTGGTCGTTGGTCTTGTAGTTTTTTTTTGTGAAATAAAGGTTATTTTCATTCATACATGCAATCATCATCATAGATAAACCAACCACCTTATGGCAATTTTTAATACGTCTTCAAAATATCGTAGTCACATATCAATTATATAACTTGTACGTCATTAGATTTTTTTCTCGTTTAAAACTGAATATAAACGATTATATAATTTATATTTTTCCAGCTATAATGCAACAACACTTAGTGGGTCCATTATGTATACAAATCTAAGAAAAAGACAGGCGTACATTTCATTTTCATATTTCGGACAAAATTAATTAGAAGGTGGTTCGAATATTGTCACATATTTCACTAAATGACTAATAGATGGGTAATAAAAATAAATATAGGTGGGGTTTTAACAATTAAACCTATTAAATTAAATCAAAATTCATATTTACCAATGTTTAGGTTTTTAAATATAGGATTATATTATTCATATTTAATGGGGATAATATACATCTATTTTTTTTTCTTCATCAATCTCGATACATTTAATATTATAAAATTTATATATTTACTCTAACATATTTACTGCTTATATAATCATGCTCTAATAGTGTTTTTAAAAAATTAATTTTCAGAAAACAGTAGTGACGACGAAGAGCGTGAAATACATGCCGTTTTGGTTGTCGTTTTTTCTGTTCTTAAACGGCGCGATTTGGAGCGTTTATGCTGTACTCCAACACGACGTTTTCTTACTCGTAAGTAACGTTTCACTGCTTTTTCACATTGTTATTTTTACCGTTGTACCCCTCTAGCTTTGGACTTATATAAAGGGTAAAACAGGAAAACTCACAAAAATAGTAAAGCTATTTCACCGACCGTCTCTTCGATATTGCAACAATAACCCCAAAACTATTTTGTCGTTTTCTTTATACCATACTCCGTTCCTGTCATTATCAAGCCACACATTTTATAAGAAAAAAAACTTCGAGAAACAATCAATTATTTATTTATTTAAACGAAATTGTGGACTCCAAGTCTCCAACATGTCAAAACAAATTATTTGTTGGGAGAATTTTCAAAGATAATTATTTTTGAAAAATGTCTTGTCTAAAAATGCAACAACTTCTTGTGGGGTCATTTGCAAATACGTCTTTGGGAGATTTTTGAACTGTTCTAAAAAAATATTCTAGGTGTGCACTCGGCCCGGACGCAGATAAGATGTCCAA